CTGCTGCTGCTGCTGCTGCTGCTGCTGCTGCTGCTCCTGCTGCTCCCGCTGCTACTCCTGCTCCTGCCGCTGCTCCTGCTCCTGCTGCTTACTACTACTACTACTACTACTACTACCACCACCACCGCCACCACTACTACCACCGTCACCACCACCTACTGCTGCTGCTACTGCTACTGCTACTGCTGCTGACTCTACTACCTCGTACCACTACCTCTAGTACCAGAAAAGTACTACTACTAGCACTACTACTAGCACTACTACTATTACTACTAGTACTACTACTAGTACTACTACTACTACTACTACTACTACTACTACTACTGCTACTACTACTACTACTACTACTGCCACTACCACCACTACTACCACTACTACCACTACTACCACTACTACTACTACCACTACTACTACTACCACCACCACCACCACTACCACCACCACCACCACCACCTACTGCTGCTGCTACTGCTACTGCTACTGCTACTGCTGCTGCTGCTGCTGACTCTGCTACCTCGTACTACTACTTCTAGTACTAGTACGAGTAGTACTAGCACTACTACTAGCACTGCTACCACCACGCCTACTACTACTACTACTACTACTACTACCACTACTACCGCTACTACCACTACTACCACTACTACTACCACTACTACTACCTACTACTACTACTACTACTACTACTACTACTACTACTACTGCTACTGCTACTGCTACTGCTACTGCTACCACTACCACCTCTACTTCTATCACTTCGACTACGACTACCAGTACTAAGACTACCACCACGATTACTACTACAATTACGACGACGACTACGACTGCAACTGCGACCTCGACCACCACGACTACGACGACTGCTACAAGTACTTCCACTACGGCGGCTACCATTAGCACTATCGCTACGAAATGGTAAGGCTGATGGTGGTACGACTGCAGATACTGCCACGCAACGTCCGCGAGCACCATTCCCTGCACAAACCGATTACGATATGCTGTCTGCTGCTTGCTGAAAACCAACGACCACCTCCACGATGTCAAAATCCACCATCACCATATCAACATCCACCGCTGATACTCTCCATAAGAATCATAATGATTGAAGCTGCTGCAGAACATGCTCAATGGTAACTTAGAGATGTCGGGCTCCTTTCCGGATGGTGTTTGGCAGCCACAAATAGTCTGTGAATGAAGCTCACGAAGAACAACACTTACTGGAAGTCAGGGCACTCGGCATTGTGTGGCCGGTGAAACCAAATACTCTTGTGGATGTTGCCTGGGCGATTGATTGGTTTGGAGCTTCTGGGATTGTACCATGCAGCAGCTTCCGATTCGAACCAGACTGTCAGCCACTGCAACCGTCTGGCATAGGAAATAACTGCGATTTCAACCTCTGCGGCCTGTTGCAAGGCAGAAAATTGCTTCTGAAAACTTGTGGCAACGAATGCCGATGCCCTAACACCCCAAGCAAAGCACTTGGGCTGGCAGCGAAATGCTGCCGATAATTCGCAAACCTTGATGCCAAGACCCAAAGCCCCAATGAAGCCGACGGTTCCTAAACCCCCCAATACGCTCCTGAACCGATTTCGCCTAGCTAAACTCCAGCACACATGAACCTCCACCTCCTAAACCCAAGACCTTCCAAAGCGCACCTTCTTTCCTCGCCCCTCCCAAATCAAAAGTACCATGTCGAAGCATCACTCCTCAGGAACATCCAGAAACCCAGAACCCTTACGAAGATACCTCTCGAGATTTTCAGGCCCCCCTTAGTTATGGGCCCTTCTCCTCGAGGTCTTTGAGGGAGCCCTCATCGCACCATGCAGACCCGGACAAGCCAGGTCGCTGATGTTCAAGGTCTTGGCGCGGGGCTCCAAGCCATCTTTGGCAACCTCAGGGGCGTCAGAAAGGGTTGTTTTTAACAGGGGTTCTTTCAGAAGTGCTCTGTCGTAAGGGCTCTTTCATAAGGGTTCTGTCGTAAGGGTTCTTTCATATAAGAGTTCTGTCGTAAGGGTTTTTTCATACGGGTTCTGTCGTAAGGGTTCTTTCATAAGGGTTCTTTGACAAGGCTCCTATCATCTTTCATACGGGCCTTTCACCACTAGACTATAATGACTATAATGCGGGTTTGAGAAGGGTTCTTTAAGGTACTCTATAAGCGCAGGGCATAACATAATCATAACCAGAACAGGAGCACTAGTTGACTTCGCCATTCGAACTACAAGTAGGAACAATAACCATAACCACCGCTTAAGCAGAATAAGTCTAACAGTGGCGACCATAGTAACAAAAAGGATACTCGTAATCACCGTGAACCACCATCATCAAATCTACAGGGTTAGACCGTCAAAAACACGAAACCAAACGCTGCGGCCTCGGTGGTATATGCGTCTTCGTTCCAGCACAGGAGCTTGAGCCTGGGATTGTCAAGAAGTAAAAGCATGACACCGGAACATAAGCTATTTGGGAGTTTCCGAAATTAGGGGGTACCTTATTTTGGGGTCTCTAATAATAAGGACCCGATTATTTAGGGTACTATCTTAGGGTCCCCTTTTTCGGAAAGCCCCATTTACGAGGCTGAGAGGGGGAAAATGGTTGAAAGGTTGTGCCTTACGCGCTTCTTCGGTCCTTATAACTAGATGGCATTCAGTTGAAGGATAGGCTTCGACTGAAAGAGTCTACTGTAGGATATTCGCGGTGTGTTGGTGGCTTCCACCTGGGTGTTTCAGCGCCCCCCAAATCAATCTACAAAGCCCATGGCCATAGATCTTGACAAGACCCTTTGAAAAGACCCTCTTATCACCCTGTAAACCCTCCAGAACTCACTCATGCCTATAAAAACCTCACAAACTCCTATCTATGCCCTCATAATCCCTCATACACACCTAAAAACATCAGGATAGACCAAAACCTATACAACCCTAAACCGTCACACCCTAAACCCTAAACCCCAAAACCCTAAACCGCTGAAGTCCGTCGTGGATGCAAGGCTTTCCGCAACTCGGAAGCTGACACGGAAGGCCTGTTTGGGCCATGGCAAGGTTTAGGGTTTAGGGTTTAGGGTTTCGACTCTCACACTCGCACAAGGCCGGCAAGGCTCCGTTTAGGGTTTAGGGTTTAGGGTTTAAGGGTTTGGGTTTTAGGGTGTGAGGGTTTCGGGTTTAGGGTGTGAGGGTTTAGGGTGTGAGGGGTTTCCAGTAGGGCTTTACGCCTTTAGGTGCTTCGGGCTTATGAGGCGTAGAAAAAGGGTGCTCAGAAGCTTAGGGGTTTAGGGGCTTTAGGGAACCACTGGGTGCAGAGCTTGGGGTGCTGATTTGAAGTTTTGTAGCTTGGGCTCAGGATAGGGAAAGGTAAGGATTTTCGTGTTTAACTGGGTTTTGGGGCTTAACTCTTAAGAAGTGTGTTCTACATGGGGGGGGGGTTCTACAATACGGTGGGAGTGGGCTCCCTTCTCGGCACAAAACTTTCGTTGCATTGAAGCTCTGGGAAGGCTCAGTTCGGCAGCAAAGCCCAACTACCTGGTGCGGCGTGCTTGTTCCCCCATCGGGGGCTGAAGTCCGAAGACTTCGGAGGGTTCCATCCTGCCGGTAAGGAAGGAAGGGAAGGCCCTAGGCAAAAAGCCGACGTCGACAGGTCGTCCTGCCCCCTTTTACCAAAAACCTAAACTTGTGAAGAAGACATAGATAGGCCTAGGACCTAGGAGATCTGAGAGTTCTTGGACTCTAGGGCACCGTGAGAGCCATTGCTTGCTGAAGGGCTCTCGCGTCCTCCCCTTACACCCTAAAGCCTAAACCTAGAACTACCTTTGAACATACACCTTAGCCCCAAAAGCTTCCCACATCCACGGGCCTCGAAGCGAGCTCTGGCACAGCCTCGGAGAGACGGAACCTGGTTCTGCAGGACACCGTGCTTTAGGGGTTTGGACTCACACACTCGCACCCAGGCAGGCATGTCTCGAACCTTTAATTAGGGGTTTAGGGTTTGCGGGTTCCGCTTCGCACACTCGCACTGAGCAGGCACGGATTCAAGAGCAGGTCCATCGAAACGAATCGTGCTAGGATGACATGCGAAAGCCAGCAATCAGGGAAACCCAGTAGATCATGAAGAATGCCATTTGCGGTTTAGGGAATTGCCGGCTGTGATGGCTGGTTGTAAGCAGTCCAACGCAGCATGAGTAAGGCCATAACTGCTCAAAGCCTTCCCGGTGGAAACCAGAACCCGGATTCATCTGGTCTGAAAGCCTAAAGGCCTAAAGCCTATACATACATATAAATATAAATAAATAAATAAATATATATATATATACACACCCTAAACCCGTCTCCCTCGTGAAGCCAAGCGGCAACGGCTGGGACTTTGAGCTACCACAGCAGAGGATCAGGCCAAGGATGTCAAAGTCTTCCACCTTATAAGCATAATACTAACAACGATAGGAATAGCAAACAAAAACAGAATAATGCCAACAAGCAACAACGGTAATAATCACAATAATCATGGATTACACCTTCAAACTTGAGTTTCGAGCTCAGAAGGGTCATGAACGAGGTTTGCTGTCCCCTGTTCGGCACTTGACATTTTCCGACATTCCCGGCAGCTCCAAGCATGCGAAGGGCTGGCTGCACTTTTGATGCCGATGCATGTAAAGAGGAGGCCTGTGAACAGCTATCTTTGCAGGACAAGATCTACTGTAGGGTCCTTAATAATTAGAATAAGGTTTTGGGGTATATTATACTAGTACGGGTAATTACTTGGGCCCCTAGCGCATCCAACGGATCGCCTAGGCTACTGCTCGCCCGGGACAAAAGACTCGAGGACTGACTAGGAGAATACAAGAAAAGGCTCCTCCCTGGCGGGAGGGAAGGATAGGGGGCTTAGGGTGTAGGGTTTAGGATAGAACTACTGGGCTCTGAGTCTACACGTGAGATCACCCTGGCGCAGAGGGAGGGAAGAGTTTGAAAGGGACTGCCCCGGCAACTGCATCGAAGGCGCGCTGATGTTGGTGGGCTCGGACTGCAGGGATAAGCTCGCAATCTGCATCCACAGGCTCAGGTGGGTTTTCACGAAGCTCCTTGGAGTCATCACCCGGCTCTGAGCTCAGGAGCCCTGCTTTCGACCTGCGAAATAGACTGTTTGTCGGAGGCCTTGGAACAAGCGGACGAAGACGGTAAAGACAAGGTTTTACGACCAGCAGGTTGCAAGTTGTGAAAGCTCAACAGCCCAACCTTTGGAAATCCTGAATAGCTCCGGCGGGCGGTCTTGCTGCTGGGAGTCAGCAGCGACTGAGTGAAATCGGCACCCCGTCCCAAAGACGGAGCGTGGATCATGGACCTCATATGACCACAAATTCCAAGAATACAGACCCGTTTAGGGTTTAGTACTTTTCTTAGTATTTAGGGGTTTAAGTTGTTCAGGAATCCTACACTGAACAAAGGAACGATACCATATGCAGGGTTTGTAACAGTGAAGTCTCTCCGGAAACCTAGGCAAGGGTTTGCTAATATAGTTCTACTGAGTATGCCGCAACCCTCTGCTGATTGGATACTGGGCATGCTCTCTACTTCGTGCTTGTCCGACGCACGGCCCCTCACGGAAATCCATTCAACATCGCGTGTGGCCTTTTCTAGGGTTTAGAGTTTACACTAAGGTTTGAATAGGGCCTGGGGATTAGCATAGACTTTTCGGATGTAGTGTACTGGTAGTTTTGCATGAATTGCACTTCGAACAGGTCTGCAATGACGACTTTTTCAGTACACCTCGTGCAAAACCAAAACAAACCTACCTCAATGACAGCACTATTTGCTGAAAACTTGGTCTTTAAGGTTTTGTTGGCCCAATGTTAAAAACGTGTAGCCAAACGCTTCCGGCAGCTGTAGTAGAGCTTTCTAACTGGGCATCTCCTCCGAACGATCCCGCCCCGTCCTTTTAATCCGAAGCTCTTGTCACTCTAAAATCACCCTGTATCAGTGAGCCCGGAAAAGGCGTGAGCTGAGCCCCGGCATAGATCCACGACTTAGATCCAAAACCCTACACGGCCTCCCTGATCAACCTCCAACCCGCAAAAACGTCAAGATCAGTGAAATCTGCTGCACTGCAGCTACCCTCATTGCCTACCTCAGTTCCCTGAGTCATCAACATATTTGTTGGAGGGCTGCAGTGCACATGGCCTTAAATGAACAATACACTAAACCTTCAATCCTAGAGCCGTACCTAAATCAACAATAACAGCCCCGACAACCCCTACTATGAACCCTATGAAACCTTCTGGAACTCTATGAAACTCGTACAACAGCAGTCTTCTTATAACCCTAGGAACCCTGAACCCTTCTTCAGGCCCAAGGGCGGCTTCTGCGAACCTCGGGGAGAAGAGCGCGGAGAAAGGTGTCCCGGCGCCCGCTCGTTCCACACCTCTTTGAAGCTTAGTAATTTTTACCTAGGGCTGAGGGTCGATAGGGTTTAGACGGTTTATTAGGGTTTATTAGGGTCCAGGGCTTGGGGTTTAGGGCTGAGGCTGAACACCGACTCCTGAAACTGCTCCCGGAAAAAGTTAATCCCGAATCCAAGCAACACATCCGGAAGTTTGGGTGCACCATTCTCTGTACAACCGAAGACTCACGGCACCTTTGAACAATTCTTTTAGATTTAGGTACCTTCTACATGCGTTCAACCAATGACAAATTTGTGGACTTGATGACGTCAGCGTGCCCCTGCAGGCGCAGAAAATGCCTTTGCCGGCAAGTCTGGCGACTTTGTGTGCTACTGTTAGGCTCAGTCTGAAACAGGTGCACTCCTGAACAAGGCTTCCAATTCCAATTCTGTGATCACAACGCTGCTCGATGAAATTTGATGAACCAATCTCCTTCGCAGCATGCTCTCTCGCCTCGTATAACGTCAATAATTATCGGGCATTCAGCGTCGAATCGGCGACTTCCACAACCTGTGAAAACCACCGACCGGAGAGACCACGAACGAACACGCCAGAGTGACTGCCCCGCGTAAAACCCATGCCCGAAGCGCCTGCACTTTGAAACACTCGCACCCTTGCCACACTGAGCCGCCACTCCGAACATACTGCAGACTCCCGAAACGATGCCGCTGCTGCTGGACAGTCACGGCATAACCCAAGAACCGCATAGTACAGCTTTACATAAGAATCGAGAGCACCCGGCGGCCGGGCCTCACTTTTGCTGGCATCGGTCTTGGCACGGTTGGTGCCTGGTATGGCATCTTATGGTGCAAGGTGTAGGGGGACAAGCGATACCCCTGAAAGGAATCCAGGTTGGGTGATGGCTTCGTGATTTCCGTGCAGCCCCAGCTTGGGCATCTGTGGCATCATGGTGTCGTGGCGATCTGTCAATGGCCGCCCGAAGCGCACCGAAAGCCAAAAAGGTCACAGTGGGAAATTTCCCTGCGCGAAGCTCTGAAACATCACCTCAAGTAGCCATAGCGCCGCATACACCTCTCTTCCTTTTGGAAACCTCGGCTACACTACCGAACCTCAAATCCCCATTCCGAAAAACCGCTCCCTCAAGCCTAAACCCTAAAACCCTTCCCTCTTCGCAGCCGAATCTCTGAAGATCTGACAGCTCAGAAGGAGGCCGATGAATCCTTGCAGGTCAGTGCTTAAAGCGTCGACGAGTTTATACAACCCCTATAAGCCCAAAAAGCCCTCAAGCCTACACCCTGTAGGCCTGTAGGAACGGAAGGATCGCAAGGTGTAGCCCCACGCCCTTTCAGCGAAAAGCTGGGCCTCTAAACTGAGTGAGGGACCCGGAGCCCTATACGGAGCAAAGAGAGGAGTAGGGTTTTGGGAGGTGAATTTGTGTAACAAACCATCTTCTGCAAATTCCCCCAAACCCTATCAACCCTGAATCCTAAGAGGACCCTAAACCCCTTTTGACCCTAAATCGGTAAGTTTCAGGAGCAGAGAGTGAAGCCCGAGCCTGAGCCCTTGCAGTCATCGAGCACAGAGGCTCTTGAGCAGAATATAGTATAGAAATATGGTAGAAAAAGAATAACATAATAGAAAAAGAAAACTATGTGATGTAGTCTGACACAAAAAAAACATAAACAAGTAACATCTAACGGAACCTAATAGGTCACTATGTGTCGGCTTTCCATCGCGTTTTGAAGCGCTCGGAGCATCTCAGAGCCTTGATCCTTTAGCCTGGAGCCTAAAGAACGCCATGACATTCGAAACGTCCTCTCAGCCTAAGCAACAAGGAAGGACGCTGAAAGTTCAGGGTTGGAAGCTCCAAGCTTGCCACTGCATAATATAGGGGCCTTAAGGATAGCCTAACCCTCCAGGTACTTACTATATAGGGTACTAGAGCCCCTAGGGCCCTATATAGTAGGTACCTGGAGGGTTAGGGAAAATTAGAATCGGATTTTGGGGCCCAAAATACTATAATTATAAT